AGAGGGAATTTGAAGGCAAAACAAAGGCCATAAAACAAATACGATACCACACACCTTTGGTGGAGTCTAGGGAAAAATCTGCAGCTAAGTGCTAGGGAGAGCTACAACGATGAAGACGCGGTGAGAATTGAATGCAGAGGGCATGAGATTCCTAGAAACTGGAGGGAAGAAAGCCCACCTGTGGTGAAGTTCCAGGAAACGATGGTGTGCCTCTGGCGCTAGCTGCCTGAGAGGGCGACGAAGCCAAAGAGGAAGAGAGAGTCAGATGCAGTGGGCTTGAGCACGGAGCAGAGAGACACGCTTGCTGTGAGGGTGGGGGTGGGGGGCTGGTGAGGGTCGGAGGAAAGGAAGACTCGGAGGGTGCCGGCGCTGGTGGGGTCGTAGTGGATCCAGGCGTGCTTGGTGTGGGCGTCGTTGAGGATGAGAGGGGCCGTGGCAGAGGCGAGGGACACAGGTGAGCCGCCCACATTGACGCCCACGTGGTTGTCGTTGGGGTCGCTGTGCTTCACACTCAGCACCGAGTCAAACTCCACCGCCACACTCCGCCTCCCCACCCCTCCCAGCCCCACACTCGCCCCCTTGCCAGAAGCAACTGCTGCCACCACAAACGCAAGGCCCTCCCCACCCGCCCCCTGGCCCGCTGGACGCATGGCAAAGCTGAAGGCAGCGGTGAATGCGAGCTCAATCCCGCAGAGGGAGCGCTTGTTGGGGAAGTAGAAGAGGCGCAGCGAGGGAGAGGCAAACGCTGCTCCCTGCTGGTTGGGCGCCCCTCCTGTGAGAAGAATGGAGCCGTTGGAAAGCACAGCGGCTGAGCCCTGCAGCGACACATAGGCCGAGCCTGATGCCAGTGATGCTCCCACGGCTGCACGTGCAAGGGAAGCAGAACACGAAAAGAGAGACAGACAAACACAAAATGTAAATCTTCCGAATCTTTCAACGGCTGCAGGCGCACGGGAAGAGACACACAAACGCGAAATGTAAATGAGGGGATGACTACAGCAGATGGCAACGCACCTCCAGGCACACAGGAGTTGGTGTTGGTGCTGTTGAGCAAGTAGTTGGGGTCGCACACACACTCCCCTGCTGCAGTGAACTCATCCACAGAGCAGTAGCCATGCCCCCCACACACAGGGCCAGTGGAGCCAACCTCCAACCCACAAAAAGCAGTACACATTGGAGCGGGCCTCTGGGTGGACGCACGGCTGCAGACGCTCATACTGGCAGCAAGGCAGTTCGCATGGATGGACCATGTGACAGCAAAACAGTTCCGGAACTTCACCTCGCCGTGGGAGAAGAAATTGTTGTTCACTTTGTACATCTCGGTGGTTGAGAAGCTGGGGCTGGGTAGACGGCCTGTGAATTGGTTGGAGGAGGAATGGAATGGAAGGGACGGAGGAGGTATGGCGATTGGCACGGGTTTGGGGAAGGCAGGATAGGAGCAGCCGAAGCTTGTAAGCTTGGAACTGCCAAGAGCATTCAGACCTGAGAAGTTAAGGTCTGTGTGTTTTGAACAGAGATGGCTAATGCATGATGATACCCACTGCACTGCACATGGGCAATCATGCGGACTTTTTACCAACTGAACTCAGCTTTTTCTTTATATCTCAAAGTGAATTGACTTGTGGTTTTAGGGTCTGTGTGTGTTGACTCTACTCTACACATTGGAGACGGCAAGTCAGGGAGGTGACGAATTTAATTCAAATATTCACATCACCTCATGTCAAGCCCACACGGCCCACTCCACGGATCTTTCCTCCCCCCTCCTTTTCCCCGTTTCGCCCCAACCTCGCACATTATGGTGATACTCACAGCATCTTGAGGTTCCTCATGGTTCGCGTGATAGGTTCAATCGGCCCTGAGAGCTGGTTATATTGTAGCAGACTGAGCAGCATATGTGTAGCGCGCACACACACACGTGCACACGCATGCACGCACACGCACGCACGCACACGCACGCACGCACGCACGCACGCACGCACACACACACACACACACACACACACACACACACACACACACACGCGCGCGCGCGCGCGCGCGCATGGGAAAGCAACCAGTGAAATACTAAATCTACGACATCTAGAGAAATTGACCTGCGAATGAGTTTCTGCAATCATTGAAGAGCAAAGCAGGTCAGACACAGCTTCACGAGCATAATTCTTTCTTGGAAGGCATGGGCTGAAAACCGAACCGTGGCTCAGTTTAGGGCGAAACGGTTTCCCGCAAACCGAACTCTTCCGTTTTTGTGTCCCGCCTGTTTCAGGTTGAATCAGCTGGTTCGGCTCGAGCAGTGTGCAACCAAACTGGTTCAATTCGACTCGGGTGTGGAAAGTCCCGCAACTTGGGTTGCACGACTGCTGTTTTAGCTCACTATTCGCCACCCCCTTTTTCCCAATTTAGAGCATTCTCACGATCATTAAAGTGAATCTGCAGAATTTAACCAACAACAACCATGATTTGGCTCTTAAATATGGCTCACGTCACGAATTGCTTACAAGAACTGAAGCTTGGATAGGTTGGAGAGGGTTCTTGGAACACTTCCATACAGCTGGGTTGCACCGAGGTCCCTACAGTGACACGCGCAAAGATGAGTACCCAATGACCCACTTAGAGGTCCGTGCGAGCAAAGACATGAGCCTTGGTGTAATGATAAGTCATGAGTACACAACACAATTGAATGTGGAATGGCAGGTGACTGGCATCACCTGAGGGAGACAGGAGCATGTGTGCTGTAAACCCCAGAGTAGCATCTGTGCTGTAAACCCAGAGTAACTGATGCAGCAGCCAAGAGAAATAGGTTATGGGCGCACAAGAGAATCAGGTTGGTGAGCTTCCCAATGGCTGTTGGTATGGACCCAGACATTGGATTGTCTGCCAGGGTCCTGCACACGTGCATCATAAGAGAAGAAGCAGCAGCAGCAGCAGCAGCACCGCCAGCAGCAGCAGCAGCAGCAGCAGCAGCAGCAGCAGCAGCAGCAGCAGCAGCAGCAGCAGCAGCAGCAGCAGCAGCAGCAGCAGCAGCAGCAGCAGCAGCAGCAGCAGCAGCAGCAGCAGCAGCAGCAGCAGCAGCAGCAGCAGCAGCAGCAGCAGCAGCAGCAGCAGCAGCAGCAGCAGCAGCAGCAGCAGCAGCAGCAGCAGCAGCAGCAACAACAATTAACACACATTTCATACAGCCAATATGTGTGAGAGATTCAAACTATTGAAGACTTACTTTATTGGGACAGAGTGGGAGGACACTCAGGCAGTATGAATACAGAAGCGGCATAGTGTATGCATAGAGAACTGGAACAGGCAGTGGTCATCCTTTACAGGTATTCCAGCTGTGGGAGATCGCCCAGTGCAGCAGGTATGCTTCCCGATAGCTTATTGTTGAAGAGCATTCTGAAAACGGTGACAGCGGATAATCGAGAATTATGTAAGGATTATAGCAAACAAGGATATTCGGGGAATAGTGTGAGCATAGAAGTGCATTACCGCAAGCATGCAAGGTGAACAAAGCATGGCAAAGGAACACAAGTCGCAGGTGGGTTGGGTGCCCATCAAACCCGCATTTCTTACGGGTACGCATGAATGCTTGTGTTGTCGCAGGTCCAGAAGAAATGGAAATTTCATAATACTTGACAAACCAGAGTAAGGAGAGTTGGAATGCTATTTGAATGAGTTGCATCCTTGCAACATCTCCTCTGCATGAACCAAATGTGCTACTCATGACTTCGTTGATACTTCTGTTCCTGCTTATGATCGTTTACAGTCGTACTTTCCTGCTTAACGAAAGGGGGGATTCTGAAGAAGAATATGTTCTTATGACTGCATGCGTATTAGGGGCCGGGGAAACAGGTGGCAGAAGGGGTGTGAAGTGATAGTTGGCCAAGATGCAAACATTGCTTCCCTCAGGGGGAGTATAAATCTGGTCATGTTCCGAAAGAGGTGAGTAACACTCACATGGTAAATTTCTCATGCCCACATACATGCTTCTGAGCTGTTGCAGCGACGCCAGCGATTTTGGAATGGAGCCGCTGAGAAGGTTGTCAAACAACAAACTAGGTGGGGAGGGATGGGAAACAGGCAACGATAAATGCACTAGCATGAAGGTATATTGTTCAACCTCTCTAGTGCAGCAGTAGCTTCTTCAGGGCTCAAACTGTCAAGCCTGATAGCTTCACCCGCGGGAACAAATACAGCTGGCACATAAATTGCAGGAAGAGTGCTTGAAAAGTCAACGATAAGAATTCAGCAGTGTCTAACGATCAGCAAGTCACATGGTGCAAAGAATGTAAGGGATTGATGTCCTGGGAGTAAGGGAGGAACCTAGGGAGAGAGTTGGCAAGCGGCCTTACACTGCTGAGAAGTCTAACTTTCAAGGATTGCACTCACAGGACACCACCTGAGCTGGTCCTGTGGTAGCGTAATCACATTCCCAAATGTGAATCATGCGAGCCTGAATCGTGCGCAACCATCACAGCAGTTAACCGGAAAATTTGAAGTGTTAGTACTGAGTAAGACAATCTCACAGGCCCGTCAGAGCAACCATTGCTGAAAGTGAGCCAGGAATTGATCCATCCAGCCGGTTCCCTGCGAGGTGGCTGGATTAGTCGAGCATGACTCCAAGCAAGGGGGGGGGGGGGGGGGGCGGGGGGGGGAGTAGGGGAGGAGGAGGAGGAGCACTGACTAAGAGCATTGACATGTGCTGGACAGTGAGATTCACCAGACGGCATGGATGACATGGATTAGGTGAATCGGAGGGATGATTAACTTTGAGGGCGCTACGACGCAGAAATGAAGAGAGAAAGAGTCCCATGCCATGCCACATCAACCGCAAGAGTGGACTGAACCATGGTCAATTCTGTGAAAATGAGAGCAAGAAGTTTTCGTCTGTGACCTGCGAGCAATTCAAAGACACATCATTGGCAGTGAGCAGTGAGCAGCAAATAACGTGTAACAGGGCAGGGCATGCTCTAACCACCACTCGTACAGGTATGAGAGGCTGTGCAGTTGACTAAGAGAGTCGGGGATGGTCCCACTCAGCTGGTTGTGATTTAAAGTCCTGCATGTCGCAGCAGCCAGTGAAGTGCAGGGACACACACAGGACAGCACATTTAAACAGTGCACGGCTAGGGGGGTTGGATAAGCTACATGGAGCGCGGGGAGCCAATAACCATTGGCCTTTGAGCGTTGCATGGTTCCTGTAACCGCTTTGACAAGCTGTGTAGCACATAGCAGTAGCCAGGGCCAGTTGACATTGGACTTCCATCCATTGCCTGTCTGATGTGCATTGTTCCTGCCTGCGACCTGTACAAGGGCCTCAAAGAAAAAGAATAGGATTCACACATCTCCTGAAGCAATGACAAGTTGCCGAAAGACGAAGGGATGCTTCCAGAGAGCATGTTGTCTCAACAATTCCTGTTAATTCACCACGAGGCAGAGAGTTGCCGAGGCATTACTGGGGTCAGGAGACACGTGCATATACATCGCTTGCATTTGAAAGTGACGCATTACCATGACTACAGGAACAAAAGTTAACAGCACACTGGCATTGCATGGCTACGGCCAAATCTATCAAGTGTTCCCTCATTGAAGTTGAGCAGTGTTTTGTTCGAATCGCACCTTAACATGCTTGACGCTCTGCCTTCTGAGCGTACATCTGTACTCACGTGTTCATCTGTACTCCCCCCGGATTTGAAAACATATGGCTGCTTAACTTGTTTCGTGCCCGCATTGAGCCTACCCATGGGGTATGATGATGGAGTCAAATACAATACAGCCAGCAAAGTTTTCAGCTATGTCCAAAAAGCTCACACCCCCGCATTTCCTGGTCTATTTGGAATTAGAACGTCTAGACACCCTCGCTACACTCGCTATGGGATAAAGCGACATTGAGAGAAAGAGCAGCAGGCAGGAGCATGAGCCTCACAAGATGATGAGGTTGGTGAAACTGCCAAACCCATCGGGAAGCGAGCCATTGAAGAAATTCTGGCGAAGAATTCTGAGGAAGTTATACGGCAATATGCAACACAGGTTGAAGGAGGGAGAGGAGGAGGGAGAGAGGGGTAGAGAGCAGCTGAAGTGGAGTCTGTACTGTACCCTCGAAATTATTCTCCAGCATGAGAAATCGCCAGCGCCAAATGCCGCAGCGGCAGAGTCGTCAGTGGCAGGATTGAATGAGAGGAGCCACCTAGTTTTCAACAGCAGACCTTTTGTTTGAATTTGCCATTTTCTGGGCACTTCAGCAGCAAGCATTTTTCCTTGGATCTTCATCACCAACAACTATCCAGCTGTCTGCTATCCACAACGAGCAAAGGCCTCTTTCTTTGAATGACGGGAGTGAATGATCAGTGAGCTTGTAGCAGAAAGGTGGATTGACTTCCAAAAGGTCCAGATCTGTGTTGGAAAGACAAAGGTGTTGGACTTACAACAGCTCAAGGCGCACAAGGCTGGATAGCAGGTCTATTGGCCCTGACATTTGGTTCAAACCAAGCACGCTTGTGGGTGGAGGTGGACGGAGTCAGGGTAATAGTCGTACGGGAATAAGCATTAATGAGAACAGACGAGGAGCAGAAAAGCAACCATGGACATGAAAGCTGTGAAACAGGTTGTCACTCGGTCGACTGGGAAAGAATTTGGAGACGCTTGCATACAGGCGTGCACGCATGCACGCAACGCAACGCAGTGCAGTGCAGTGCAGTGCAGTGTAACAGAGATGCACATTCCATATGCACGCCTGAAAAATGACTGAAGCAACATAACGTGAAATACATATGCATACATCATGGTCAATCATCCAGACCCTTGCAATCGTAGGCATCCCTATTAAAAGTACACCTCATGAACTTACAGATATTCCAAGCTGACCAAACGACTGAAGCCTTCCGGAAGAGTGCCCGAAATAGAGTTGCCCCCAAGGTTGCTGTGGAAAGAAGTGAGAAAAATTACAAATGAAGGGCACTGATACAATACAGTCATAATCCCCAGACATAGAATTGCAGTTAAGAAGGCATCGCAGATGGGTCCTTCTGGTGAGTTTGTATAGATAGCACACATAGGTGAGCCAAAGGTGTACGTGCTGTCTGAGACATAATTGAACACGGGGCGAGGCGTACAGAGCCACAAGCGATGTCATATCGAAGAGGGTGTCGGGGATAGGCCCTGTGAGTTGGCAGAAGATAAGCGTCCTGCAAGAGGGGACATATGGGTGATTCTATGTGGTTCATGAGTCTAAGTTGCTCTTATATCCTTCTATTGAGTCTATACACCTTGTGTTCTTTCCTGGAGGTTCCTTTATAAAGCGATGGAACGGTTCAGAGCGCTATCGGATCTGGTGTAAACACGTGGCATACATATTAAAGTGTTGCAGCACGATCTGCTCTCCCATGCCTTGTTGGACTAGGCTAGTCTGTATTATATTCTGGCCTTATATTTACTTTCATCCAGTTTTGGCCATATTTCGTTTCAGGTTCATTTTAGGCTCATTCTGCAGTTTGTTCCTAGACTGAACACACGTACAGATGAAGTTTCACCCCTAACCAACCTCGTCTCAACGTATCCAGATTTATTCAAGTTCTTCCTTAACTTCAAATATATTCTACCATCCGTGCCTTTCGTCTGTGTCCATTTCTCTATCGTGCAAAACAGAGTGTCATACATGATGCATTTGTTAGAAATAGGCTGTCAACACTTTGTGTATTCTATTTTATATGTTGTAGGTTATTTGTTCGTTGGGTGTACATTTGTAATCCCAACCTCCCCCGTGATCCAACAAATCTGCCAACTCACCATTGGAGATTTGCTTGGATTCCCATCCCATCCTTTCCCTAGCTTTGCTCAACTCAACCCAACCTTATTTGTACTAAAGGCCTAGTGCCTTCTATTCTAATCAATCAGTTCAGCTCCAATTCTATCAGCATTCGACAGTGTTTTGTTTATGTTAAACATATTGAATACTAATAAGCCAAAATCTAGAGCCATAGGGATGTGTGAAGCTCACAGGTGTCTGAGGCGTCGAAAGCGGCTGATCGTGGAAGGTATAGGTACTTGAAGATTCTTCGAACCCAGCTCTCTACGAAGCAATCAAGAATTGGGTGCAGCACAATGCATCCAATTCATTCATGGATGTTTCGTGGTGTGTGAGTAGAGTATGACTAGATCAGCCAGTATGTGGGGAACGTCATTCACAAAGCAGCATTCATCAGATGGAATGCAAGGGGATCAACCACTGCTGACGAAAGGCTTATTGGCACCTATGGCTTGAAATGAGATGAGAGGCCAATGGGTGCAATGGAGATTGCTCACATGGCAATGACATATCCATCCTTGTCGCATATAATGCCCTCCATTGCCCTGCAGTCCGCATACAGACTCATCCACGTTTCGCTGCCACTGAAGTTGCCCCACACGTAGAGCAGCGATGCCAGATTGAGGACTGGGCGGATGTGACTCCAACACGCACACACACACACACACACACACACGCACACACACACACACACACACGCACACACACACACACACACACACACACACACACCGCACGCACGAACGCACACACCCGCTGACGCACACGCACGCATCGCGCGTGCTCGCGCACACACACGCAGACACACATGCACGCACGTACACACGCACTCAACACACGCACGCATGCATGCACACATGCACGCACTCACACACGCACCCTACACACGCACTCAACACACGCACACATGCACGCACTGACACACGCATGCACACGTGCACATGCACACACAAGAGCGGTAACAACATGTTTGGGGACGAAGAATGCTGTGAGGTTCAGGAATGGGATGGGATGCATGTGTGTGCGCATGCGTTCTGCTGTGTAAGATGTATCTACCACACCACATGAAACGTCGACTTGAGCCTCTGATTCCTGCACTCCAGTGAGTGGCTGCCATAAAAGAAGCAGCTGAGAGTACAACCCACCATCCACTGGGTGCAGTCGCACGGCAACTGCACCCCTTGGCCAGGGGGGCACAAGGCACGCCAGGCTTCCCATGAGAAACAGCAGCAGCTGACGCTCCAGCCGTCCGTGCGAATTCTGAAAAGTACACGCATGGCAACCCCAATGGCTGTGGTCAGAGATATGATGATCTGATGTAGACACGCGCATGGGGCAATGCAGTTAACTAGACATGAGTACAGACCGAGCCGTGCACCATTGGAACGGCCTCCTTTGCCGGACTGGCCAGGCACTGTGCATTGCACCACGCTATCCATGGCAATCAGGCCGCTTTCTACACAAAAGCGTCACATACTGCAACGTGCATTGGGCCACGTGGTTACTGGCACAACGCCGCGGCTTCAGAAGGAGTGAGCGCCAGGTGAGAAGCAAGGCGTATGAGTGGCTCTGCGTGCGTTCTGCTTCTCTGACGTGGCTATGAACGTGCTACTCGTGACATCAGTTGAACGACTCACTCTCGACAACTCCTGACATGCAACATCTGCAGCACACTCACCAGAAGGGTAAGACAAGCAACTTGCGTCAGCACTCGGGCGAGCGGGCGATAAGACTGAGCTTACTACACGAGTTGTCGGCATGGGGACCGGTGGAATGGTGTGTCCACTCTGCCTGCTGCCAGGTGTGTGACACGATTGGGTAGTACGCACGGCTGGTTTGTGACAAGCATGACCAACAAAGCTGAGGGACAGATAGAAGAGTTGGATTTCCACAACCCTAAGCGAAAAATGAATGACTCGCTGCCTCTATGGTCGATTACGGAAGCTAAAAGTTCGTGTTCAATAGGGAGGTTAGAAGGTCACGTTACAAGGTTAAAGCCCGCGGCCCAAATTGCGGGCCGCGCGGGTCAAGTTTTTAAAACTTGATGAAGTGCCTTGTTCAAGCTTTGAAAGGTACCGTAGGTGCAATTTGGGACTTTCGAAGTCCAACACACCCACCAGGAGAAATCGAGGGGCCTTTTGGGTTTGGCGAAAAAAACGAATTTGACGAAATGAAAAACACTCGCCAAAACCCAAACCTTTAAGGACGTGTGTGAAATTGGATGGAGTTCGTAATCGGGGTCGAACTTCGTATGGTTACCCTATTCGCCACATTTCGCCTGATTTTTCGCCAAATCCGAAAGTATTACCACGTTTGGGAAGTGCGAACCCTCAATTGTGAACACGATAGGGAAGAATTATCAAACTTCGGCAAACACAAAGAACCGAACGTGTGTGGTGTCAGCCACGTACGAGGTTCCAGCGAATCTCGCGACTCTTTCGTGCGCCAATGAGATCACAACCAAGACCCTACACATTGCTGAACTCGCTAGGCCCACCACGTGGCACCCGACGTGCCACGATGGCCGGTCATGCGCACGTATCTCCCGGGGCACACGATGAGGCCATGAAATCCCGCCAACATTCCTCACAACTCCACGGGAGATTTTTGTATCGTGCACAACCACCCCTTCTGCGGAGTTGAGCTGGAGGTCTAGGGCTCACTTTTGTGTGCAGCGCTCCGGTGACGTGTCGCGCTGTGGTGTGATTGAAACCGGGTAACCTACAGTCCCCCCATGCGGCTCGGGTCCCCCCTAGTGAATTCGAACTTGCAAATTCGCACCTACGTGTGTGATTGTGAATCTACAAGCATGCTCACCAGCGGTTCGAACATTGCTACAACTCAAAATCGAGTCAAGTTCAGGTTATTAAGACCTGCTAAAATCGAGTCAAAAACATGAACTTTCATAAAAATTAATTTCACACACGTCCTAAAACTCCCTCTCGTCATCTTTCAAAAACTTGTGCAATTTGGGCTGCCGGCTTTAAACCTCCGCAACGACTTTTTGTCAATCTGCCACAGGTCCGTGCTCCAGACAACATTTTTCGCGGTTGAACCCCAATTTCGTAACCTTTACGAGTGTGTATCCATCCTTTTCTCGGATTTCGTCTGTTCGCAAGCCAAAGACGACGATCTCAAAAAATCCCCTCCCCTGAAGCCCAACAGCGAAAAATCGAACTGGTTGGAAGTTCGCTATGAATGCTTGTGTCTGTGCACGCCCCAAAGCACAAGATTACAGCCAAATAAAAATCCTTCCGCCTGATTCAACAACTAGTGACCGCAAGTAGCGACTCGAGACTACGCGCCGCATTCACCGCTGTGCTGAGGATAGAGTCTCCGACCATGTCGACACACACGCCTGTAAGCTCGCCACGTCAAACTACAAACCGTCCTTGAGAACGACGATAATACCCGAGCTTGCTGCGAAGTTCCCGCGGCGCGCGGCCGTATTCCGCGGAGGCGGTTATTTTTGTCGTCTGTTATTGCCAAGTTATGTGCATGCCCTATCGTCAGCGCGCTTTTCATATTTTCCATTGCCCTCAGAGTCTATCTGGTCGCGTGCACTCCACCACTTAGGGTTTTCTTTGGGACGACAGGCTAGTACGTGCAGACCAGCCGCCGCGTGCTGTTGTGTATGCCCCGTGCCGCCCTACACAGTGGGCGAAAGCGGGGGCCATTTCACATGCGCAGCGGTTGCCTTTTCTACTTGTCTGAGTACGCATGTGGTGGGCGCCACTGGCGCGTAGAACACATGCAAAGGCAGTCAAACGCCTTGCTTGCCAGCAGGCACGCACCCCTGTTAAGGGGATGATTGTGCTAGTAGACGTGACCCAATGTGCGTTGGTGTGTTTGGGAGGGGGAGAGGGGGGGGGAGAGGGGATTGCGGTGGGGGACCGCAGCCCCATCACGCAGCTTGTGCAGTGCCCCATCACGCAGCTTGTGCAGTGCCCCATCACACAGCTTGTGCAGTGCCCCATCACGCAGCTTGTGCAGTGCCCCATCACGCAGCTTGTGCAGTGCCCCATCACACAGCTTGTGCAGTGCCCCATCACACAGCTTGTGCAGTGCCCCATCACACAGCTTGTGCAGTGCCCCATCCGTGCTGCATGTTCCCAGCCCGACTCGTGCCGACAGCAACCATATGGTCAGGCCTCTGGCCGATGCGTTCTGACGAGGCTGATCGGCCCTGGTCAACCCTGGCCCAGTCCGGGCAGGAGGTCGTCCCATCGGTCCCTGATGCATGGCCTGGCCCATGCTCATGTCTAGTCGGCAACATCATGGCCCCATCCGTGTCTGCAGCAAATCAACATGTATCTCTTACCACAGCTGTTGTTGTTGTGGTTGTCGTGCATGTTCCCAGCAGAATTCGCACGGACGGCTGGAGCGTCAGCTGCTGCTGTTTCTCATGGGAAGCCTTGTGTGCCTTGTACCCCCCTGGCCCGGGGGTGCAGTTGCCGTGCGACTGCACCCAAATGATGGTGGGCTGGACTCTGGACCGCTTCTTTTATGGCAGCCACTCACTGCAGTGCACGAATAGAATGCGCATGTCAACATTTCTTTTTGCTTGTAGGTGCATACCAGAACGCATGTGCACACACATGTGTCCCATCCCATTTGTGAACCTCATGGCGTTGTCTGTGTGTGTGTGTGCGTGTGTTCGTGTGGATGCGTGTGTTTGCGTTTGCGCCTCCGTGTGTGCGCGCGCGTGGGTGCGTGTGTGCGTGCATGCGCGTGTGTATGTGTATGCGTGCATGTGTGTTCGCGTGCATGCGTGCGTGCGTGTGTGTGTGTGTGCGTGCGTGCGTGTGTGCGCATCTGCGTACGTGTGCGGGTGTGTGTGCATCCATGCGCACATGCGTGCGTGTGCGTGTGTCGGTGGGGGTGTATGTGTGTGCTTGTGCATGCGCGTACGTGTGTGCGTGCGTGCGTGCGTGCGTGTGTGTGCGTGTGTGTTCTCGTGCGTGCGTGCATGCGGGTGTGTCCGCGTGCGTGCGTGCGTGCGTGTGTGCGCATCTGCATACGTGTGCTGGTGTGTGGGCATCCATGCGCACATGCGTGCATGTGCGTGTGTTGGTGGGTGTGTGTGTGTGTGTGTGTGTGTGTGTGTGTGTGTGTGTGCGTGCGTGCGTGCGTGCGTGCGTGCACTGTTACATCCGCCCAGCCTTCAACCTGGCATGGCTGGCCAGCGAGTGGGGCAACTTCAGTGGCAGTGACACATGGCTGTGGCAGTATGCGGACTGCAGGGCAATGGAGGGCATCAGATGTGACAGGGATGGATTCGTCATCGCCATGTGAGCAATTCTCCATTCCATTGCATCCATTGGCGTCTCGTCTCGTCTCATGCCAGAGGTTTCAATAAGCCTATCGTCGGAAGTGTTTGATCTCCTTGCATTTCATTTGATGCAATGCTGCTTTGTGACTGACTCACCACACATGCATGAAATGAAAGCATTGTGATGCACCCAACCTAATTCATGAGTGGCTCACAGAGAGCTGGGTTCGAAGAATCTTCAAGCACCTATACCTGCCATGATCAGCCGCTTTCAACGTCTCAGATACCTGTGAGCTCCACACACCCCTGTGCCTCTAGATTCTAGCCTCTATGATTTTGAGGTGCTTGATTCAAACAAGACGAAGGCGAATGCTCCATGTATGACACTCTGTTTTGACGACAGAAAAAAGTGGAACAGTGGAAAGGCATGACAGAAAAGATCCTGCCGCAACACTCCAAGTTGCATCCCAGGTGTCTGCGCCAGCATAGGGAACGTTCTGAACCGTTTCATTGCGGTATGAAGGACCACAGTGTATATTCACGCCAAAGAAAGAACATAGGATGTGTAGACTGAACAGAAGGATTAGCATCAACAAACAAGGGATGACAGGGGCGATTCGAACTTAAGCTCTAACTGATTAAGTTGCAAACACATTAAGCACATTGAAGAATGAACTTATGCTGTTGAAAAACAGGTACTACCGTCCTACCTAGTCTGGAACAATCTGCCAGTGACAGTGAGTAGCGGAGTGGTGAATGTGATGCAAGAAAGCTAGCTGCGAAGAAGTGCCAAGACAGACTCCAGTATAACAATCCCAACGAGCACCTGTCGTCGATAAGCCATGAGAGGGTTTGTGATAAGCAGATGCTTGGCACGACAAGCCAGCCGTCCTACTAGGATGAACTGATGCAATGAGCATGATATCAATCACATTGTGATGCGAATCTGTTGGACGGAATGACCTCCCACTGCTCCCTCCCTGGAGTGGGTGGGACTACTTACTGTACTCCCTGTGCTCCCTTATTGCAGCACGCTTCTCTTCTCCCAACTCGCAGGGCCCATCCCCAACACCCTCTGCGACTTGACATCTCTCCAGACTCTGTACGTTTCATGTTCCACCACCACAAAGAAACTTCAAGCAGAATCATCACATTGGCTCACTCACATATGTCCGTTGCCAATACCACCTCACCAAAGGACCCATCCTCAATGCCATATCATCTCTCATGCACTTTTTTTTTCAACCCACCGTTGTATCAGTGCCCCTCATTTGACTTCGCCTCACTTCATTCCACAGAAACCTTGGGGGCAACTCTGTATCGGGCAGTCTCCCAGAAAGCTTCAGTCGTTTGGTCAGCTTGGAATACCTGTGAGTTAATGAGATTTATTTTCACGCACGCATGCAATGACCTGGATGATTGACCATGGAGTAACCATATGCATTTCACATGTTCTTGCATGTTGCAATGAACGATCAGTGGATCACCTAACGTGAATCCATCTCTATTCAGTGTTATCTTCTCTTATCATGTAGTGTGATTCACTTCTCATTTCAGATTTTGCACGCATTTCTTGTTCCTTGGTCTTTTGCTCCCCAACTTGATCGCCAATTCACCTGCATCTGGCTGTTCGAATCATTTGGCAAGCGTGCAGTGTTGCAAAAAATAGAATCTGACCATGTGCATCTATGCTGCACTGCTTTGCATCGCATTGCATACATGCACGCCTGCATGCAAGCCTCACCAACGTCACTCCAGTTGAGAGGGTGACCACACGTATCACACCTTCCATGTGCACGACTATTCGCCCTCTTCTGTTCTTCTGTTTGATGCTAAGTCTCTCGCTATTCTTCCCCTGCACCTCCTCCTCTTACTAGCGTGCTTGGTGTGAATCAGATGTCAGGGCCCATAGACCTGCTATCCAGCCTTGTACGCTTGACGCATCTGTAAGACCAACACATTCTAAACCAGTTTCGAAACAACCCCACTTTTGAACCTTTCAGCTACAAATGTACTTAATTTCCGTTGTCTAAGAAACAGGTCTTTACTCGGTGTGAATAGCTTCTGCTGCGGGTGCGGACCATCGCTAGTCATGAAAATCCAAAGAAAACGGTCTGCTGTTGAAGCACACAGAAAAGCGCACAGAAAAAGTGATGATGCTGGAAGGTTTGGCTCTGAGTGTTCAGACAAAGCTGTTCCACTAAGTCTGCTTTGTGAAACACTCTCCAGCTGCTCTCTACCCCTCGCTTCTCCTCTCCCCCTTCAACACACGCCCCCATTTCCCCTAAATCTTCCTCAGAAATCTTCGCCAGAATCTCTTCAGTGGCTCTCTTCCTGAGCTTGGTGGTTCCACCAACCTCACCACCTTGTGAGGCTCATGCTCCTGCCTGCTCCTCTTCCTCTCACTGTTGTTTTCTTCCAAAGCCAGCAAGGGTGTCTGCATTCTGTTTTTGCAAACAGTGCTGGATTCACAGAGGTGCGGGAGATTTTGACAATGCAATGCATGGTACTTGCTACAACTGAAGCTGCACAGTATAGCTGAAAACCTACTGAAACCTTGAAACCTGAAGCTATATGACCAGAAGCTATATGTGGCTGGCTCCAACATACACCCCATGGGTAGGCTCGATGCTGGCAAGGAACAAAGTATACTAGCTAGATGTTTTCCGATTTCGCTGGGGAGGCAAGCTTGATAGCCAAGCGATTGCTTCTGACATGCATTACAAACCACATGAAACAAAGGTATGTGCTGACTGACACAATAGAGAAGGCTGCACACAATATCAGTACACTTGTATGCTCAGAAGGCATGTCAAGAGTTTCAGGGAGCACTTAATGGTTTCAGCCATAGCCACGCAATGCCTGTATGTCGTTGGCTTCTTTTTTTCGTTTGTGTAATCATTGTAATGCGTCACTTTCACATGTGAGCCGTTGATGCACGTATCTCTAGACTCCAATGCTGCCGCCTCTCTTTGTGTCGTGGTGAAACAACAGGAATTGTCTGAACAACATGCTCTCTGGAAGCATCCCTTCGTCGTTGGGTAACCTGTCATTGCTTCAGCAGATGTATGAATGCTTTCTCTGCAGTCCTTGTACAACAACTGTGTGGAACTCCGCGGTCCTGTTTGCACGGCCCAGCTCCACAGACAACTGTGTGCAACTCGCAGGGAGGCATTGCACCACAATGCACATCATCAGCCAGGCAATGGCTGGAAGGCCAATGTCAACTGGCCCTGGCTGGCTTCCCTCTACTTTCACGGCCCTGGAAGGCCGATGGCTTTTAAAGCGCCTGAACGAACCGTGCAATGCTTGAAAGGCCAATGGTGATCAGCTTTGCAGACCCCCATCTCGCTTATCCAATGCAGTGTGACACGTGTATGTCTCGCTGATCAGCTTTGCGCTGCCACGTGTATGTCCCTGGACTACTTACTGCCTGGTGTGACACGCAGGGCTCTAGGTCACAACCAACTGAGTGGGACCATCCCCGACTCTCTTAGTCAACTGCACAGTCTCACATACCTGTGCGAGTGGTGGCCCGCATGCCCTGTTACACGTCATGCGCTGCTCACTGCTCACTGCTCACTGCCAAATATGCGTCTTTACATTGCTCTCGGGTCACAGGCGAGCTTGAAACCGCGCACACACACTCATGTCCACGGCATCGATCGACCCAAATTCTTGCAACATCTTTTTCGAGTTGAATGAATCAGTCGCTGCTACATAAAGAACATGGCTCCTATTTGGGGCTGCTTGCACTGCCCACAGCATCAATCGACTCAAATTCACTTCACCCCTGCATTTGATGTGGCATGGAACTTATGACATGTTTTTCTCTCTTCACTTCTGCCTTCTAGTGCTCTCTGTTCATATCACCCTTCTAATCCACGTAATCCGTGCCACCTCATGAATCTCACCTTCCACATGCATGTCCTTGTCAATGATATCTCGCTCAAAAGTGCATTCTCCTCCTCTTTGCACCTCTAACGGTCCGTGAATTGATATAAACGTATGGTTACAAGCATGCGTAATCGTTCTTCCTCCCGCTCCCCCCCCCCCTGCTTGGAGGCATGCTTTACTAATCCAGCAACCTCGCAGCAAACCAGCTGAATGGATCAATTCCTGACTCACTTTCAGCCCTCGTTGCTCTGACGAACCTGTGAGATCCTATCTCTCACTCACAAATAGCCTTGGTGGTTGTGGGAACATATAGGCTATCACGACTGACCAATGGAAGTGTGATTTACGCCACCACAGGAGTACAGTACAGGTGGTGTTCTGTGAGTTCACTCCTTGAGGGATTCGACTTTCCTGCAGTGTAAGGCCACTTTCCACCTCACTTCCTGAGTTTCTTCCCCACTCCCAGAACTTCAAGTGTCAATACCTTACGATCTCTGCACCATGTGACTTGCTGGTCTGTAGACTCTACTGAACTGGAAACATTGACTTTTCAATCACTCCACCAGCAATGTATGTGTTAGCTTAATGATGTAGTGTTGCCAGTGCAGCCCACAGGCTTGACAGTTGGAGCCCTGAGTAGTTACTGCTGCGTTAGAGGTTTAACAATACAACTGCATGCGGCATGCATGTGTTCATGGAGGCTTGTTTCGCTCTGAATGTGATTGTGGCCTTACAGTACCTTTGGCCAGCTTTTAGGCTCAGTTTCATTTCAGGTTCAGTTTATGTTCATTTTGCAGTTTTTTCAAAGACTGAACGCGCCCTATGTTCAGTTGGGGTTTCACCGTAACCAACCCTATTTCACTGTATCCAGATCCAAGCGATGTAATCTCTTACCTTCTCAATATCCATGACTGCCAAGTACTCATTTTCAATCAGCATGGACCTGGTGCATGGTACATGCATGGCACATGGTGGTGTGCATGGTTGCTCTTTTTCCTTTTTTTCCATCCCTCCCTCCCTAGACTGTTGACGGACAACCTTCTGAGCGGCTCCATTCCAAAATCGCTGGCATCACTGCAACAGCTCAGAGGCATGTAAGTAGGCATGAGAGAACTACCAGTCGAGCAGTACTCACCTCGTTTGGACTTTCCTCATACAATAAACGAGTCAAAATCGAATCGAGTGTTACTCGCCCCATTGCTCCTCCCATAACAATGGATCAAAACATATACACACGCACACGTGTGTCTGTGTGTGTTTGTGTGTGCGTGCGTGCGTGCGTGCGTGCGTGCGTGCGTGCGTGCGTGCGTGCGTGCGTGGGTGCGTGCGTGCGTGCGTGCGTGCGTGCGTGCGTGCGTGCGTGCGTGCGTGCGTGCGTGCGTGCGTGCGTGCGTGCGTGCATGCGTGCGCAAATTACTCACTCGATGAGTCGTCGAGTACTCATTCCTCTGATTTAGTCTACTCGATCGATGCAACAGGGTCAAATAATTTCTTACCTCGTTACTAGAATAGATGTCAAGCAGAATAGGTGGACGATAAGGTCAATTTCCACTTATTTCAACTGTTCATTTCTAGCGACTTGTGTCTCTTTCCCTTTCCTCCTTCACCCTTGCGTATGTGCCATAATGCTCCGCTTTTCTCACGCTACTCCCTGCTGCAGAATCCTGTTTGTTTGAATCTTCCCAGAGCCCTCGTTTCCCCATGTTCTCTGTTCTCAGAATGCTCTTCAGAAATCAGCTGTCGGGAAGCATACCTGCTGCTCTGGGCGATCTCCTACAGCTGGAATACCTGTAAAGAATGAGCACTTCCTGTGCCAGTTGTATAAGCGTACACTGCGCCACATCTGAATTCATACTGCTCAGGTGCCCTCCCAGTCTATCCCCTTCATCTCCTTGACATAAGCTCAGTCCCTCAAGCGTGGCACCCACACTCTGACTCGAGGACCGAGGTACATTGGTACAACCGAGGTGCGCGTGGTGCTCCAGTGGACCCAAGAACGACTGCTCGCATGGAATGGAACAAGCGGCAATGAAACCTTGCGATTTGGCTCGGTCACCACTTGCTGGTCAAATATATGTACCACCGTGCAGCAATACGCTCACGCTGATGGCTTAGACCAGCATATAACATTCACTCGGAAAACCATATCTTGTTCCAGGGCCTGGCAGTGATCGGTTTTACAAGACACATGTTGCTTGAGTGCTTGCAATGGTTCTTTTAAACTACTGCCTATGAAACAGGGGATGATGTTTAAACACTATGGCACTCTTCTTTCGGAGTAAGTGGTGCTCTCTTCAAATAAAAAATTCTCAAGGCTTCTGTTCATCACTCAAGCAGCCTGCAACACGTCTCTGTGGACCAACCATGGGCTTCTCCCAGTATCTCTGCTCCAGTCTCTTTCAGATTTTCCGTATCAAGGCTTTGTTCTTCCCCTGTTGCACGTGCGCAGGTCTCTATCATACAATCCAATGTCTGGGTTCATACCAACAGCCATTGGGAAGCTCACAAACTTGATTGTCTTGTGCGTCCATAACCTGCCTCTCCTAGCTAGTGCATCCGAAACTCTGGAAGATGCACCACAGATGAAGCCATGTGTTGCAGGTGTTGCCAATCAAATGCTATTGCACATTTCACGGAGCTGTGTGTTCTCCTAAATTTATTGTAACCGAACGCATGCCTTTACTTGCAGGGGCCTATAAATGTCATTGGGTGCTCACCTGCGCATGACATTGCAGGGACCTTGCTGCAGTCCAGCTGTATGGAACCGTTCCAACCACCCTCTCCAACCTATCCAAGCTTCAGTACTTGTAAACAATCCCTGAACCACACTCAAGTGCCACACTCATGTTTGTTGGTGGTTGAAGCCTTGCCGATTTACGTTACTGACGGTGGGAATGCTTTAAAATGGAGGAAAAGGAAAGAGGGGGGAAGATAGACTAAGAGAAAGTTGAAGCTCGAAAGTGAGCTTCAGACATCTGAATTCCACCTGAAACGGCATCCGTGCGACCCAAGTTGCGCAAGCTTCCACACCCGAATCGAATTGAACCGGTTTGAGTTGAAAGTCATCTGGTAGAGTTTGTTTTGCAGGGAACCATTTCGCCTGAACCAAGCTATGGTTTGTTTTGAGCTCATTCCTACCAAGAAGGCATTATGCTTGTTCGGCTGTGTCTGATCTGCTCTGCTTTGCTCTTCACTGATAAAAGACCGCCTTTTGCAGGTCAATATCTCCAGACATCATAAGTTTAGTAATCACCTGTTTTGCTTTCAATGGGTTGCTTACCTATGTGTGTGTGAGTGTGCACGTGCGCGCGTGTGTGTGCATGTGAGTGTGTCTGGGTGTGAGAAGGGTAGAGGGGGGGAATTGGTGTGTGGGTGCGTGCGTGCACGTGTGTGTGTGCGTGCGTGCGTGCGTGCGTGCGTGCGTGCGTGCGTGCGTGCGTGCGTGCGTGAGTGCGTGCGTGCGTGCGTGCGTGCGTGCGTGCGTGCGTGCGTGCGTGCCCTGCCTGCCTGCGTGCGTGCGTGCGTGCGTGCGTGCGTGCGTGCGTGCGTGCGTGCGTGCGTGCGTGCGTGCGTGCGTGCGCGTGTGCGTGCGTGTATGTGTGTCTCCCACATACTTGTGTGTGCGCTACACATGTGCTGCTCAGTCTGCTGACATATAACCAGCTCTCAGGACCGATTGAGCCTATCACACGAACTATGAAGAACCTCAAGATGCTGTGAGTATATCACCCTAGTGTAGTGAGTGAGGTGAGGCGAAACGGGGGAAATTGGGGGCGGGGGGAGGAGGAAGGATTCGTGATGTGGGAAGTGTGGGTTTGGTGCGAGGCGATATGTCTTGCCCTCTCAGGGCCGAATCGACTCAGTCTTGCCCTCTTCCCTGTGTCAAGTCAAGTCAACACTCGCAGACCCTAAATCCACGAGTTGATGCCATTGGGGATATAAAGAAAAGGCTGAGTCAGGTCGGCCAAAACTCCACATGATTGCTCATGTGCACTGCAATAAGTATCATCGTGCTGTAGCCATCTCTGTTCATACCTCCTCCATCTTTATCCAATCCACTCCGGCAGGTACCTCTCTTCCAACCAGTTCACAGGCCGTCTACCCAGCCCCGGGTATTCAACCACCGAGACGTACAAAGTGAACAACAATTTCTTCTCCCACGGGGAGGTGAAGTTCCGGAACTGCTCGGCTGTCACATGGACCATCGATGCGAACTGCCTTGCTGCCAATATGAGCGTCTGCAGCCGTGCGTCCACCCAGAGGCCCGCTCCTATGTGTGCTGCTTTCTGTGGGCTGGAAGCTGGTTCCACTGCCCCTGTGTGTGGGGGGCATGGCTACTGCTCTGTGGATGAGTTCACTGCAGCAGGGGAGTGTGTGTGCGACCCCAACTATATGCTCAACAGCAGCAACACCAACTCCTGTGTGCCTGGAGGTGCGTTTGTGTGTCTCTTCAAGTGCACCTGCAGCCGTTGAAAGATTCAGAAGATTTACATTTCGTGTTTGTCTGTCTCTCCCTATTACATTCTCTCTGTTCTGCTTCCCTTGCACGTGCAGCTGTGGGAGCATCGCTGGCATCAGACTCGGCCTATTTGTCGCTGCAGGGTTCTGCCGCTGTGCTGTCCAACGGCTCCATTCTTCTCACAGGAGGGGCGCCCAACCAGCAGGGAGCAGCGTTTGCCTCTCCCGCTCTGCGCCTCTTCTACTTCCCCAACAAGCGCCCCCTCTGCGGAATTGAGCTCGCATTCACCGCGGCATTCAGCTTTGCCATGCGTTTACCGGGCCAGGGGGCGGGTGGGGAGGGCCTTGCGTTTGTGGTGGCAGCAGCTGCTGCTGGCAAGGGGGCGAGTGTGGGGCTGGGAGGGGTGGGGAAGCGGAGTGTGGCGGTGGAGTTTGACTCGGTGCTGAGTGTGAAGCACAGCGACCCCAACGACAACCACGTGGGCGTCAATGTGGGCGGCTCACCTGTGTCCCTCGCCTCTGCCACGGCCCCTCTCATCCTCAACGACGCCCACACCAAGCACGCCTGGATCCACTACGACCCCACCAGCGGCGGCACCCTCCGAGTCTTCCTCTCCTCTGACCCCCACCAGCCCCCCACCCCAACCCTCACAGCAAGCGTGTCTCTCTGCTCCGTGCTCAAGCCCACTGCATCCGACTCTCTCTTCCTCTTCGGCTTCGTCGCCCTCTCAGGCAGCCAGCCCCAGAGGCACACCATCCTGACCTGGCAGTTCACCACAGGTATGCTGGCCCGTCAGTCCTGAACACCATTCATGTTTCTCGGTTTTTATGTAACACATGTAAAGTATGTCATCTTATTTGCGATGCATCGTTTTCTGTTTCGAGTGTTCCCTAGTTTCCTTCCACTTCACTACTTTAGCATCTTCTAGCCAATTCCATAGACATTCAAGTATCTGCTGCTGAGTGTCCTCCGTCAAAATGCGCTGCCCCAAGTCCCCCCATTTGTTGAATGAGTGTCCATTCAGTTGAATATCCTCCCATGAAAGAAAAAAATAACTGTATTTTGCTTGTTTGCTTCATTAATTTCTGTTCATTCTCGCATGCCAAAATCCCTCCCTCCCCCCCCCCCCCCCCGTAAAGAGTAACAAGATCCTCAAGAATCGTTTTGAGATTGTATTGCAGTCTGGTATTCTCCCGAAGAAACGGTATCAGTGCTGGTTTTATCAGACGATACTGACATTTTATATGCAATGCAATGCCTGCCGTGGGCTCTTCGTTTTGTAAACAACGTTAATGCATTTGTTCCACAGTAGTGCACCCACCCACCCAGCCCTCCGTTTCTGAGGCGTTCTACTGGACGTATAAAATACCTGGACCCTGGTGCTGTATATTTAGGGATGACTGACCCACAGCAGGCCCTGTTTAAATGCCTGACTAGTCTCCTTTCCTCCCCACTACCCTTGCTTCAACCTGATTGGGCACATCAGAAAAACATGAAGCCACAGCTGCCTGACAAGCCATGGGATGAAATGGAGGGAATTCTGACAAACCATCAGTATTGGTAACATTGTGTGTAAATGGATTGCATCAACAAAGCCGCCATATCTCAAACCACAAAAAGTCATCTCAAGCTAATCAATATTGTAACTCTCTTCCCCTGCATGCACCTGAATCCTGCCTGCTTGCACTAGCAGCGCCTGGGGCAAATCCTCCAATCCGCTGCTCCCCTCAATGTACACCTCCCACAAGCTCCTCGCGCTCTCCAACCCCTCGGTCAGCTCGCACAGCTCTTCGCACTCCTGCACGTCCAGCACCTGCAGCAACGGCAGGTGTGCCACGGCCGCAGGCAGCTTCTGCAGCAGCGGCAGCTCTTTGAGCGTGAGAGAGACGAGAGAGGAGAGATTGCCAAATCCGTCTTCTGGTAGAGAAGGGAGATTCTCGCATTCCGAGACCATGAGGTGCTGCAGGGAGGTGAGGAGGGTGAGGGAGGCAGGAAGCGCGAGGAGCTTCGGCGCGGTGTTTATGGTCAGTACACGCAGCCCTTTCATCTGCCCGAGGTCCTCGGGCAGGTCGGAAAAGTCCATGTGGCTGAGATGCAGGCGCTGGAGGTGAGTGAGGGCTGTGATTGAAGGAGGGAGCGGGGAGAGCGAGGGGAGGGTGTGCAGGGTTAGGATCCTGAGTTTCTATAGCGTGTGGATGTTGGGTAATGAATCTGGGGATACAAGGGACAAGTTATAGAGAGAAAGGCTTTCAAGGGAAGATGTGATGGGAACGGTTGTGAAAGATGGGCTGTGTCCGATGCACAAGTGCTGGAGAGAGGAGAGGTGGGAGATGGCTTGCTGGATGTTGCTGGTGCTCCGTAGCGTGTTGGACACGATTAGGGTTTGCAGGGTGGGTGGGAAGGGAGAGGGCGAGGTTGGGGGGGTAAGCTTGGTGAATTTAATACAGTCACGAACGTCTAGGTGGAGCAGGGAAGGGAGGAGGTGGAGACCTGAAGGGAGGGAAGCGAGGGAGGGGCACTTGACGATGAGTAGGCGGCGGAGGGATGGGAGGGGACGGGGAGAGGAGGGCTGGGGTGAAGTCTGAGGAGAGGAGTCTGTGGCACCGGAATGTGCGGTGGAAGGAACGTGAGCAGCAGCAGCGGCAGCAGTGGCAGATGCAGAAGCAGCAGCAGCATCAGCAGCAGCCATAGCAGACGCAGCAGCTGAAGCGTCAGCAGCAGCAGTAGCGGAAGCAGCAACAGAAGCAGCAGCAGCAGCAGCAGCACCACCAGCAGAAGCAACAGCAGAAATAGCAGCAGAAGCAGAAACAGCAGCGGCAGCAGCAGCAGAAGCAGCAGCAGCAGCAGTAGCAGCCGCAGCAGCAGCAGCAGCCGCAGCGGTGGCGGCAACAGCAGCAGCAGCAGCAGCAGCAGCGGTAGCAGCGGCAACAGGAGGAGGAGCGGTAAGAGGTGGCAGCACGAAAAGCAGCTTGCAGTGAGAGAGCTCTAACTCCTGCAGGCCCACAAGGTTGCCCCACCCTGCGGGCATTCCGCTCAGCTTGTGGCAGTTGGAGATGCACAGCCGCTGCAGGCGAGTCAGCTGGGTGAACGATGTTGGCAGCTGCTGAATCTCATGGCACCTGTGAATCTCGAGGGCAGTTAAAGAATTTGCGAGCTGCCCGAACGTGCTCGGGAGGTCTGTAAGTGCAGGGTCCCGCGACTTATAGTAGACATAATCCTCATCGTCACTCTCCTCATCTGAACCTACACGGTCAGGCATGAAGGTTGGAAGGCCTAACTCAAACTCATCCCATTTAGTCACCAAACCCTTACAATTGAGAATAAGGCTTTCGAGGTTGGGCAGCTGCGAAAAAGATTCAGGAAGGGTTTCCAGCCATTTGCAGCCAGCTATTTCCACTCTGCAAAGCGCCATCAGCTGCCCGATAGTTTCGGGCAGGGTTTTTAATTTAGTGCAGGTGCGGATATTGAGGTCTTCAAGCTGAGTGAAGGTGGTTGGCAGAGTAAGCTTACGCATAGAATCAGCAACAGAAAGCCGCCTCAGCTTTAGCAGCTGCCCGAAAGATTCGGGCAGATCGCAATGAACTTCGCTCAGATGTAGCTCGGTTAGCGCGGACAGCTGCCCGAAATCTTCGGGCAGGGAATCCAAGGAACATTCGAGAAGCTGCAGCTGAGAGAGCGAGTGCAGCCCATCGAAAGACGCCGGCAGCGACGTGAGACCCTCGCACTTTGCAGCGGGAGGAGAGGAGAGCCACTGACTCCGGAACAGCCGCAAGCGAGGAAAGCTCTTCCAGAACGAGAGAGGCGAGGCGGGGAGCGTCACCGATATCCTCCGGTAAGGCGGCGAGAGAACCGCAGCGCTGAACGGTGAGAGCGGTGAGGGAGGCGAGGGCGGAGAGTGAGCGCGGGAGAGCAGAGAAGCGAGGGCAGTACTGAACGGTCAGTTCTTGCAGCGAGGGCAGCTCGCCCACACAGTCAGGCAGCGATTGCAGGTGCGGAAGGCTGGAGAGGAGGAGGCGTTTGAGGGAGGAGAGGTGGGCGGAGGAGTCTGGGAGAGTGGTGGCCATGACGGCGCGCAGATGGAGGGTTTCAAGGGACGATAGGAGGCCGATGGAGTCGGATAGGGAGTGCAGGGCTTGTAAGTCCGCCAACTGCAGATGTCGCAGATTTTTTAGCTGCCCGAGGCCGTCGGGCAGCTGCCGGAGTGTGACGCAGTGGTCGATTTTCAGCGAGGTGAGGGAGTGGAGGCGGGAGAGGGTGTGCGGGAGGGCGCGCACGCAAGGAGCGCGGATGCTGAGAGACCGTAACGCGGAGAGCGAGCCAACGCCCTCCGGAAGCTCTTCCTCCTGTGCCGCGTCCGCGTCATTAATAGCACCCGCGAAATCGAAATCGACTCGGCCGCACGAAACCTCCAGCCTAGTCAGCTGCTGCAGAAGACTCACGGAAGCGGGCAGCTCGGGCAGGCACACGGGCAGCACGAGTTTCAAGCTGACCAGGCGGCGGCAGGCGGCGAAGAGGGCGGTAACGGCGGGTTCGGTTACTTTCGTGACGGCGTCGTCAAGATCGCCAAATGCGAGGTTCTGATCCCAGGAGCGCAGGTTCCTGTGGCGATACAGCGACATGTGCGTGAGGGAGCGCGCGCACCCCGCGGCGATGGAGTAAAGGAGATCGTCTGTTATGGCGTCTAGAGCCGATGGGCCGATGTGCAGGTGCCGCAGAGTGAGCGGGGAGTGCATGGGGAAGGAGGGGGAAACGGCCGAGGCGGGAGGAGAGGAGGAAGGAGGAGGTGAGGAGGAGAGGACGGAGCGGAAGGTTTGGGTGGAAAGGCGGCGGTCGGCTTGCAGGAGGATGGCGGGGAGGCTGAAGCGCGCCAAGCGGAGCCAGCGCTTGCACACGAGCGCGTGGCGGAACACAGTGAACGGCGGAGGCGGAGGCGGAAGGGGCGCGGAGCTCGCCGCGGAGGTCCCGGAAGGGGAGGGCGGAAAGGCGGGAGGCGAGGATATGCTCCGTTGACGGCGTGACGGGTGCGTCGGGGTCGATAGGAACGGTCATGGTTCGCTCGTAGTTGCCGGCGTTCGCGGCCACCTCGAGAGCTATGGCAGAGGTTAGCTCAACGACGCGTACGAAGCGCGCGCAGTTGCTTTTCACTGCCCGCTCGATGCTCTCGTGCAGCTCGTCCTCGCTCGCATCGCCATGCGCATCCTCGTCCTCGCTGTTGACGGACCCGTTAACTTCGTTCCCTACGTTTCGAGCCATAAACCCATCGTCGCGCTCCGCGGAAGCACCGCCGCTGCCGTCATCCCCGCCATCCTCCGCAGCGGCATCGGCGGCACTGGCGGCGGCGCCGGCGGCGGAGGTGGCGGTGTTGGTGCCAGAAGCAGCGGTGGCGGCGGCGGTTGTGAGGCGCGGGTTGGGGAGGAAGCGGACGCCGTTGGAGGCGACGAGCGCGAGAATGCACGCGACGAGATCGTCTGATAGGCGCGCGAATGGATCGGGTTCGAGACGGCGGGGCGGAGGAGAAGCACCGCTGTCGAAAGCATCCATCTTAGTCCCCTCGTTAGACGAAGTTGTGCTGCTGGACAAGTTGGGCCGATGGAGTCGCAGGGATGCTTGTAAACGTCTGCGAAGGAAGAATATTAGGGTACGTTCCTGGCCCGTGTCAAAGCTTCGGGCCTTCCCGGGAAGGCCCGAAGCTTTGGGTCAAACTCCCTGTCCAACTTCAGGTCTTCCGGAAACAGGGGCAATTTTAGGCCGGAAGACCCGAAGTTGGTCTCGGATGGCCCAAAGTGGGTCCAACTTCCGGTCATCCGCGGATGACCGGAAGCTTGACACTCGCCAGGAACGTACCCTTAGGAAACTTCAGGGTGCGTCGTGTCGAGATAAGCGGTAGTCTTAGGAGCCATAGCTAGGAGAGTCCTAGCTAGGCAAGAGAGTTTAGGCGAAAGAGGGGTTGCACTAGCAAGAATGGGGATACAAATAGCAAACCCTAGAAGGGTTGTACTCGCTACAGAGCACCCCACTACAGGCTAGAGCATAATATTCTGACACACCCCCATAGCCAAAGTGGGGTGTAATCAGCAGAGCAAGCAAAGCAGTACAAGCTCAGGGTGGATCACAATGTCACCACACATTCTGAGCACAAGTTTAAGAAGCAATAGTTTAAAGTTCACAATTATGAGCAAAGCTAGTGGTAGTCACAACGGGCAAGTGAGGAGGAGGAGGGCTGGCGAGAGGAGAGTAGATGGGAGGCGACGACTGAAGCTGCAGGCACACGGGCAACAGACGGCTCTGGTGCGACACAGTGGCTACCGGGAGTGAGTGCCCCGGAGTACAGGAGTAACAGGCTCCGCGGCTAAGACGAGCAGCAGGAGCAACGGACCCACAGGCGACGGCGCAACCGGCTCTCTGAGCTACCGGGAGTGAGTGCCCCGGAGTACAGGCGCTGCGTACGACACGACGGCAACCTCCCCTCAACCTCCCCCAACAGTCCCACACCCCTCGACACACACCCGCTGCTACACCGCTAGCTCCACTCCCCCTTCACCCCCCCTTAGTACCACTCCGACGGCTCCAACAGGTCCACCCCCCTCAGCGGCAGCTGCAGCACAGGGAGACGGAGGAGGAGGAGGAGCAGGGAACGGCACACAGAAGCTGCACCCCCATACCCCCCAACCCCAAACCCTAATCCAGGAGAACGGGCAGAAGGAGGGGTGGGGCGCCTTCAGAAGCACGGGGGACAGCGGGGAGGACAGGGGCAGCGAGGAACGGGCCGCCCACGGGCCTGGCACAGCCTCCCGAACCGCGCGCAGGCGGTCCGAGCCGCGCGCGGGCCTGGCGCAGCCCGTACGGGCCGCGCGCGTGCCTGGCGCAGCCCGTACGGGCCGCGCGCGGGCCTGGCGCAGCCCGTACGGGCCGCGCGCCGGGTGTACGGGCCGCGCGCAGGCCACGACGGGCGACGGGGGGCGACGCGCGGGTCCCCGTCGCCCGTCGCAACGCCTCCCGGGGGCGACGCGCCGAGTGACGGGGCAGGAACCCGCCGCGCGCCTCGGGGCACACGGCGGGCAGAGAACCGCCGCGCGCCTCGGGGCGCACGGCGGGCAGAAAACCGCCGCGCGCCTCGGGGCGCACGGCGGGCTGAAAACCCTAGTTTCGACGCCGCGCACCACGGGGCGCGCGGCGGACAGGGAGTAGCAGTAGCAGCGGAAGCAGTGAAGTGGGCCCACAGGCCACGAACGTTAAGCTCTGATACCATGTCGTGATAAGCGGTAGTCTTAGGAGCCATAGCTAGGAGAGTCCTAGCTAGGCAAGAGAGTTTAGGCGAAAGAGGGGTTGCACTAGCAAGAATGGGGATACAAATAGCAAACCCTAGAAGGGTTGTACTCGCTACAGAGCACCCCACTACAGGCTAGAGCATAATATTCTGACACGCCGAGGAAGTGCAGGGCTTGTGTTCTGTAGGGCGATGTTCGGCTGCCACAGGGGTTGGGGGGGAGGGGATGGAAGGGAGCATCAAAACGCCGAGGCTCCTGGTTCGACCTGTTCGAACCAGGCAAAACACTTCGGTCAGACGCGAAATTTGTGAAAAAAGTGTCGGACGTGAGCCTAAAACGCGACGCGAACCCCGCGCTAGGCTTGAACCCGCGTCGCGTCCTCCCCCAAATTTCCCCCTATGGCGGAAAAACTCCGCCCTAGTGTTCAGGGCATGGAAAGTGCATTCCCGTGGGAGGTCTCAGCCCACAGGGAATTGAAAATCCATGCCCACTTCTACGATTTTCGTTTGTATAATTTCCCCACACTCTAAAAAACAAATAATCTGGACATTGAAATCATAATGTTAAACACACGGATTCAAAATGAAAACCCCCAAAATTAATTAAGGTTGAATCGACATTTACACCATTAACTTAACTTACGGTGTACACAATTGAATAAGAGTAAGTTACCCAAACGAATTCCAGCAGTAATTTCACGAAAACTGTTCAGCTCGCGAAGTTTCGTTTCGCGCAGCTGCAGTTTCGTGGGCCCCCATTTCCCGAGTCGCTCGTCCAGGGGTTGGGAGGGAGGGGATGGGGTGGGGCATCGAAACGCCAAGCCTTCTGGTTCGACCTGTTCGAACTAGGCAAAACACTTCGGTCAGAAAAGAAAATTGCAAAAAAAGTGTCGGACGTGAGCCTAAAACGCGACGCGAACCCCGCGCTAGGCATGAACCCGCGTCGCGTCCTCCCTCACATTCTCCCCCAAGGCGGAAAAACTCCGCCCTAGTGTTCAGGGCATGGGAAGTGCATTCCCGTGGGTGGTCTTTAAGCCCACGGGGGATGAAAAATGCATGCCCCCTTCCACGATTTTCATTTATAAAGTTACCCCACCCACTAAAAAACCAATATTACGGACCTCGAAATTATAATGCTAAACACACAGACTTAAAATGAACTCGCTAAATTAATCTAATGTCGAACGTAATTTTCACCCTCAATTTTATTTACAGTGTACAACATTTCAGGTATGTGAGTTACCCAAACAAATCGCAACAGTAAATTTGGGAAAACTGTTCAGCTCGCGAAGTTTCGTTTCGCGCGGCTGCAGTTTCGTGGGCCCCCATTTCCCGAATCGCTCGTCCGCGCTTTTTCCCCCACACGTTCCGCTTCCGCCTGGACCCCCGACTTGGAGTCAACGACAGTTGACTCCGAGCTGACCACCCCGAACTAGAAACCCTAGCTGAAATTTCGAACCCCCCCCCCCATCCCTCGGTCGATGCCTTGTGGCAGCCGAACATCGCCTAGGCATTTGCCCGAAGGGGGAGGAGTGGGGGCGAAAGCTAATGACCAGGTTTCGTACGCAGTTTCCCAACCGAAATCACATTCACCCCGCTACAACCAAAAGCGCGAAACTTCGAGAGCGAGGACGGAAACTGCTGACGGTAAATGGCGAAATTACACGCTCAACTTCGCGCCCAGTAGGCAGGGGTACATCGATGGGACCAACCCTACATAGCAGGGTAATCATTTGCCAAAAGGGGGATCAGCGCTATAAATACGGAAGATGGTTGAGAGCTCCGCAAGGGGTTTTCAGTCTCTGCAAGATGGTTGGGAGCGAGTTCTTTTCGTCATTTCGGGTTGCTTTTCTGATTGGGTTACAAGCAGCCTGAGAGAATGGCCATCGAGGGTAGAAAGAGGGTGTCCCCCCCCCCCGTACCTCCCTCCCAAGCCCTGAAAAAGCAGTTATCGAAGGGCGGGGCGAGTGGCGTGATTTTTGCCAGAGAAGGAAGGTGGGGAGGGGAAATCGGTAGTTTCGTATGGGCCAAAATCCCACGGGGGTAAATGGCTAGTCTGTAGCCATTTCCCCTGAACAAGTTCGGAGGGGAAATGGCTGGCTCGGCACTGTCTGCAGAACGGTTAGCCGTTCCGGACCAAAAAACGAAGGAGGGGGAAGCTACCTATTTCCCCTCGCCCCCCCGCCGCCAGGGCCTACAGAACAGAGCCAGGGTGTCGCAAGAGAGTGAAAGCGAAGGGGAGAGTCAAATCAAGCGTACGTGCTTTTTGATAGACAAACAATAGAACAACTAGTGCGTGGGGTTTTAGGGTCGAGTGGGGCCGAGAATTTCTCGCGTATTCTCTTTGTTATGAATGAACTTGTGAGAGTGCGCAGATATAGAATAACGAGAATGAAGAATTACAGAATGACGAAAGAATGAAGTAGCGAGGCCTAAATAGGGGAAAACCTAGCTAGGCGGGGGGTTCGGGATGGGATGGCTCGGTGATGGCTACGATTGGAGCGGAGGCCGACTCGGGGGTGGTTCGGTGCGACGAATTAGGCGAGGCAGGTTTGTCGCGACACCTTCGGGATGTACTCGCTAAAGTGCGAGTACAGTAAGGAATTGTAATTCCTTACACTCTCCCACCTTCCAAAGAAGGCAGCCCTATATTGAAACAAGCCCCACACTAGCGAGGATTTCGTAGATCTCCTCTTCAGCTGAATCCGACGGCTGAAATGCCCCAGACAATATTTTTGATTAGGTTGGAATGTCGGCCGTTGATGCAGTCCAAATTCGATCTGACGGTCGACGATGAACTGGCCCAAATGAATTGAAGGTTGGAATGTGGGCCGTAGATCTTGCAGATGCAGATCTGATGGTCGAAGACTGACGCGAAATGGGAGAAAACCTGCTGACGCGAATTCAAAGGCGATTGAGCAGGGACCGTTGATCGTGTCGGTGTGATCGCGATCGTCCGTCGTGCTGACGCAACCTGACAAAGTCAGAAATGTTGCCGAGAAAACGCCAAGGAAAGAACAGTGCAGCGCACTTTCTCCCCCCCTCCAAGAAAACACACCAAAAAAGGTCCCGATGCTGCGCCGAGATAAACACAAACAAAACCATGTGTTAATTCCCACTGGAAACGAACGTTGACCGTAAAAGTCCAGGTGAAAACTGCGTCGGTGTGGAAATTTCGATGACGAAACCGGGTGTAACGTGCCCAAAATTCTTCAAGGGTGAACCAGCAGATGTAGACCAGAAACCGAAACCAAAATTCCGCGTTGCTCGAACT